AGTTGCGTATTTCTGCTTCATTATCGCCTTAAAATGTGGACTGAATTTCTTGGTTACATTGTATTCTCTGAGCTGGATGCTTTAATCATGAAGCTTTCATTGTCTTTCTAAGTAACGTTCTAGCACTAACTTCATCCTGAAGTTAGTGTTGGTGTGTGCTTCTGTGACCGGGTGTTGTTACTAAGACACTTTAATTGTAAAAGTTTTCAAGCTCATAAGAGGTACGTTTGACAATATTTAGGCTGCAAATGAGATATTTTAATAGCTTCAACAGACTTATGGACGAATGTATATGATAGGCTGTTCAAACAAGCATTCTACGGCCTAATGTAACCGCAAATCAAATATTACTTGATACAGTAGAACAAACTATATCAATATCTTTCCGAAGCAAAAACAACAAACACTGTGGGATGAATAGAATTCTTTTCGTGTGCTCTAAATCTTCCATATACCCATTAAGTTTAAAATTGTATACAGTAAGCAATCAGTGTCCATTGTAAGTCATTTGACACATCTCAACAGTAAAATCAACACCAAATACAACTTTCAAATATAGACATACATCAATATATACACATAACAAGGTTCACGACCTAACCAACCAATACAAGGAACAAGTAACATAACAAATCTAGCTATGAAATCGACCAGCTAACGTAACGAAAACAATACGATGTAATAGTAGTAATGCACGAATATGATTACAGCTCAAGGTGGTAGGAATTTTGATAAAAGGAAGAGAATATGGAAGATGGTGTGAATAGTGTATGAATTAATGGTAAAGGAAATGGAAAAAGACGTGCCTAAGATATAATAGGTTAAAGTAAATCGAAAATAATGGGAATAGAAATAATGTTTGAGAATAATATGTAAGACAATAAGACGGAAGAATAAAATAGTAAGCAAAGCAGTAGGAAAAGGACAACTCACCAAGGCAATGCAAGGTGAACCACAAACCCCTTTTCCACGCATAAGTTTGGTTTCAGTCGATGGATAGCTGATGCTTTTGCATAACGTAGCAATCTACTATTTCTTTGTCTACTGATCACCTTAAAAGCTGTTTGAGTAGACGACATGACCTGTATCGAGGATATGTTTACCAATGGTGCTACTTCGTAGCCTTCCACCACTCAATGGCAGGCTTTTTAGTACATGTTCATAGATTCATTTAATATGGACCCTCTCCGTTCTTCCGAAATACACCCTACTGCAAGTACGGGTAGATAAATAAGTACAACTGAAGGTAACATGAGGAAGTCTCACATCTAAACTACTTTCTCTGATCATATTCTTCGCGTCATAGAAAACCGTCAATTTCGCAGCTGGATAAGTTAGTGCGATGAAAGCATTAAGTCGGTGATCATTTTGTGAACACAATTCATCGCCTTTGGATCGTAGTCAAATGAGCACGTTCTTTTCCAACATCATTAAATTCAGATATTTTACTGAGTAAAAGGAATAGTTTTCAGTAGGGTAAGTAGTAATCAACATATTATTGAAAATGTGTTATTTAGGTTAACGGAATTTATTGAATTACTCAATGAATATCAAGTGATATTACTTAGTAGGCATCAGATTTTGAGAAGGCAATGTATCTGCTGTAAGAAATTACAGACACAGTAAGAAAGCCGAAGATTGTTGACAGTTCCCGAGGAAAACGTGGTTGAAGTTCACTCTTACCATCCAGAGAATAAATTAGTAACTTACCTTTTGAGTATCCTAGAAAACTCAAAAACTGTTAAATTCCAGATAGCGTGGATGAGGAAGCTTTTCTCACTAATCAAAACTACAAAATACTTTACACCGCTATGGAGACAGGACGACCGACTTTGAATCTTATGCTTCATAATCCAAGGGAGTGTATGGCAGTCACCGACTGTTTCTGCAGAGACAAGCGCCACCTACCAAGCAGACTGAAATCCACTTACAATGAGGCAGTATTCAGAGATGCTTATTGGTTGAAATGAATAGATATGTTTGGTCAAATAAAGAATCAATCAATATCAACATACGACCAGGCATTACTGCGTAACCGTCCGAGTTGCTACACCTCATATCACTACATCAAGTAGAAAGATAGTGAGGTGAATATAAGAGAATGCAGTCAAAAGAAATATAAAGTACGAGAAGTAAAAAAAGAGGAGTGACAAAATGGTGAGATTCGGTATAGCGTCGTTAAGATGAGGATAATGTGTGTATACATATGCGCCACTGACTTCGGTTCTCACCCATATCACCTAGTCTCCAATCACTGGTTCCTCTTGTCCCGTGAATCCCAACCACCTAGTCTGCATCGCCCTACATGGCTCAAACCAACAGTCAAACACTTCATACACTGATACCATGTTTTAGTCTGGCCACCTCGGGCCTTCGTCCAGTCTGAACCTACTTCAGCCAACATTATGTGACGAGGGAATCGGTGACTGGGCATACATAGTACGTGTCCTAACCATCTCAGTCGATGAAGGTTCATAACCTCGTCAACTGACTTACCTCTTCTCCCTAAAACTCTACACCTGACTTCTGCATTACTCACATAGTGACACCATGGAATACGTCCTATACTACGAAGGCAACGGTTGTCAAACACTTGAAGCCTTCTTATATCTTCCACTTTCAATGGCCATGTTTCACAGCCATACAGTAGAACAGAGCGGACTGCTGTGCAGTACACGCGACCCTTAATAGACAAACGGATATCACGGCGTCGCCATAAGTGGCGTAAATTGGCAAAAGCCAATCGAGCCTTTTGTGTGCGTACAGAGATTTCACCGGCCACTGAGCCATCAGTGTTGATCCTACTTCCCAGGTAAGTGAAGTGGTCGACACTATTGGTCAAATAAAGACCTATTAGCAGTTGGGAATTCTTGGTAATATAGCTAAAAATCGGTCAGTGCTGTAGATGCTATCTGTGAAGTCTTAAATATTTTGATTAGGCTCCATTTATTTATCCTCCACATTCAGACACTTTTATTAACCTGAATAACACCCGCTGCTTAGAATGCTGCTGTGAAATATGGTAGTTTAAACTGATACACTTTTGTGGAAGGTTTTACGTTGGCATATGTATGGTTTAATACTCTAGTATCTTAACTTGTGCTTACTATTTTATTGCCAGAATTAATATTGACTACTATGGGAGTAAGCAGATACTTGATTGTCATTAATAAAAACTTCTAAACTACTAGGTATTAATTTTTCGACAGCTATTGAACTGAACTTTTAAGATCTAGTATTAACCCGCAACGATATTCATTGTGTAAAAATAAAACAAGACGACCTTTAACGACTAAACTCCCACTTTAACCTCAAAAAAAACAAACGTTTCATGTATCTTTCCTCCCAACTAGTTTGAGTCACTAATCATTCTAGAAGACTCGAAAGTCTAACCAGATACTGAAGAAGTCTTACACCCTGCAGTTATCCAACAGTTCACCAAGATAGAAATAAACGAATGAGAGATCCGACTATAAGTATACATCCGTCTGATTTCCAGCAGCCTGTGAATTAAAGACTACATCCTAACGTTTGATCATGATTACATGTCTAAATAAGCATCTGACTGCAAAGATCAGAAGATTCTTGGTGAAAAGCATTACACAATTTATTGAACATACCATAGGTCTTCAGTTTGTGCCCTAAACAACTCATTTTCAGTAACCACAAAAGGTGTTTGTATTTAGGTTGTAAATATATTAGGAGTGAAATTCTCAATAAAACCCACTAAATACTGATCATGAGAGTATGTTTTGATTACTTCCAAATAAAAAAACAACGCAACTAGACCAGATACATGTGCTTATGAACTACGTCATAAACATACTATGTTAGGATTTACAATGCTAACCCAATACCCAGGTTGAAGTAGGGTGGTGCTGAGTTTAAACCCAGGAGCCAATAGTCGAAAGATAATTGTTAAGCTATCAACCATATTTAATATATGAAGACTTATAACACTAGTCAAACTGTCTCTTACCCTTAAGATTTAGTCTGTCTGACCTTTCATCAGTCAGACCGATATGCATGCGTACGTCTTTATACAAATGCAAGGTCGTCAATACCCTGATCAGTTCATTTCCCGTTGTTAATACCATAATTTCGCATACTAAGGTCGCATAGTGAATATAGGTCAATTCGACACTGACTTCAATGATGGCATATTCATATGTAACACAATCTATTCACACAATATCAACTAGTAAGTAGAGGTTTTCATGAGATCCTATGTAAAGGGCGACTAGTAGAAATACAGGGAATTCGGACAAAACGTGGTAAGTCAATTTACATTCTCAAGGGATTCAAAAAGGTTCATCAAGGTTTTCAAAAATGGGAATATCCAAACAACTGATACGAAATACCTCGATACACGAAATAAAAATCCTCAAATAAAGTTTAGTCTCCTAAAATAACACTAGGTGTCCATTGCATGCAAAATGATGAAACTACCTCTTACTGAGGAACGCATTAAATAATTACAAGTTCAGAGGGCTTTGGCTTTAAAAGAGTTTATATTTCGTGAGTCCTGAAATTTTTACCGGTCCAAGTTTTGAAAAGAATAGGTGACACTCATTAAGCATGCTCAAATACTTTGCTGTGTATCCATTATGTGCGGGTAATCAATAATATCTTCATAAGAAGACCTAAGTAGTTAAAGAAGATTCAAACTTATAACTCGCTACTTGAAGATAAAGCGACTAAAACGATGAGCTAAAATCTCAAACAATTAAAACTTACATATCCACAGCTTCCCGTATGCAGGGAAAAAACTGCTATCAAGTCTTCCCCTCGAACATAAAAACTACGCACTAGTGTATCCTTTTCTGAATTAAATTATACAGACATTTTGATAACGAATAAAAAAATCACTGATTGGAAGTCGATGAAACGTGGAGTATAGTTCATCTGGTGGCATTATATCGTTCGACATTAAAAATCAAACACCATTTGAACAAATTTTCAACTTTTGTTCAACCGTAAAATTCTAAGAAAAGGATACGCATAGCTTCAAACTGAGAATATATTTCAATGAGAATAGACTTCAGATTCCAAAATAAAAGTATAAACGGAGTCGGTAAACATCACTGGGACATAGCTGAGGTAGAGGAAGGATTAAACAAAACAAAAACAAACTTTTGGTAGTGGATTGTATGTCACACTATATATTCTCATTCGTTAAATAAAACAATTAGCAAGAAACAAAGTATCTATGCTTTTGGTAAGATGCAAATAAATAAAGGAAAGAGAAAGCACAAGTTTTGTGCTAAAAAATCCCTGAGTACTTAACACATCTACACATAAGACTTTTTTAAATAGAAATCTGTTTTACAAAAGAGGGAAACATTTTCATATAAACTTGCATATAGACTGAAACTTGATTATTTACGAAAAGGATACAGTCAAGAAAATATAAAAAATAACTTTTATTTTAATCACCACCGGTTTCCGGAGAGAAAATTAGAATGAGTACTCTGAATGTGAAATTGGAATAAATGTTCTATTTTATGTAAGTTCAGTATAAATATGACTAAGGCTGATGTGCCATTAAAATGAGCAGAAAATGAATAGAAACTAAATGCACAATAAACCTAAACATACATACAAAGATTACGGAAGTTATTATTTTAAATTACTATGTTAGATTGAGAAATAGGAATGGTGTGAGAATCAGATATATTTTGTGTCTGATTTGTGAAGTGCTTTCTTCGATAGAAAACGTCAGATTCGTCAACAGACTGTAGCCCTGACTCATTACAACAACGGAGTGGCAGGATAGAAACTGATGAAGATTGATTACCATGTGAAATTACAATGAGACCCTTAGTGGTCCCATAAAGAATACTACCGTTAGCATTCCAAACAATGGTGTTCAAAGAAAGACCGTTTGGAGCGGATAGTAACAACCGATGCCAACGATCCAACTTCTCGGATGTGTTAGAGTTTTCGAAATATCTTGATGACATAGGTTCCGACAGTGCAGGATGTTTAATGTTCCGTATATCACGTAAGCATCGACGAACATGTCCATTTTCATGCGTTTTAGAGCGTTGTAGATGAAAAACACATGCTAAAGTAGAAATATGTAAGGAAAATAATAGTGATACAATTGTAATAGTACTAAAAATAAAAATACACCCCATTCTTTATACCTAAAACTCCGCTTGGTAATAAGATCCTACGGTAAAAAACAATCACTTTTCTGAACATTAAGTACACCTACACTAAAAGAGAAACTGGACATTCAAAACTCCCTTGAAAATTTGTCATATCATATACCAATGTAATTCAACACCCACTTATACATGAATACTACATGAGTAGTCATCAACACATATTAGGAAAATATAACAATGATCACCTGCTACAAGGATGTGTAAACAACCACTTATATCTGACCAGCACAAACTTCAACATTGTCTAACGTGGCGGCCACCGACGTCACACTCAACAGTATGAGCAACACATGTCCAAACCACCTAACTCGCCGACAGTTCACACCCTCGTTCCAAATACAGCTTAGTGATGAGGACTTTGAGGTTGCTTTGAACGAAGACATTTATTGGAACAGGAAGCCACTCATCCGTAAGAAACACAGGGCTTCTCCCAGTGTTTTAAAATAAACATTAAAGACTGTAATTAACCTCAAGGAAAAGTTGACAAGGGGTCAGTGGATTTCAGCAGCTTTTTTCTGAATTAATGATTTCATATGAACTCATTGCTGCAGATTACGAGCAGATGAGGAGCGAAAACGACTCAAAAGTCGACTGTCTACATAATGACTAAGATCAGAAGAGGGGAAGCGAAGATGAAAGAGGGAGAAAAGTAGCGGCGACAAGTAACAGTATAGTATTTTAAACTGAGAAGAGAAAATGTATAGCCAAAGAAACAACAGACGGAAAAGTCAAAGAATCACTCGAAGGGGACACTACCAGGACGACGGATAAGACACTTAAGAGAATAGTTAAACCAGCTATTAGCTCCCTTTTGGCTGCGCACTAACTTGTAGCAAATATATTAAGGGATGGCGTTTAAGAACTAGTCAGATCAACTAAATTGTAAGCTCACGTCGTGAAAAGATATGACTTTCACTGACTGATTTCTCCGGCCCATAGTAGCTACTTTGAAGTGATGGCCGGGCTTGCATGCCACAATGAACGACGGGCTACCGTGGCTGGAAAGCCTGATCCTTGAGGTCCTACCGTGCCAGAAGAATCTGTTGGGTACTGATAAGACAAAAAACATCTACCGTCATAATGTAAATGACTACGTTACAATAAGAATCAAAGTGTGAAGTTGCATAACTGACTGGATGAAGTGTGGGAGCAGTAAGGTGTTCCGTGTAGATGATCAGTAGTTCATGCTACTTTCCCTAAAACAAAGATTGGTTAAAAACGTTGGCACTTCTCGGATGGACATCAGTTAACAACCACCTGTGTCCTGCTTGACTGAATGGATGTGTAAGAACTAGGAATGATCAGGAGACTACCCAACGTCTATTCGTAATCTCCGTCTCTACACAACCCACCTACTGCAGTTCGGATGATGCAAAGGATGACTTATTTCAGAAGTTGTCGATTTTGCTACAGAAAGCAAAACTTTCACACATAGCCATAATAGTGGGTGACTTTAACGCTGAAGTAGGAAAGCTCAGCCAGTCGGAAAATTAGCTGGGAGGTACTAACGGAATCCCTTGTCAACGAACCGATAACACTGACCACCTCTTGCAATTTTGTCCCAACAATCACTTGTTTCTGACCAGCGCAAAATTCAAGCATAAGGAGAGACACCGTTTCATACGGCGTACGCCGATATCAAACAAACAACGGACACAGATAAATCATATCGCTATGCACCAGCATCGGAGAGGATCGGTGGAGAGTTACTACGGCTGCCGGAATGCCTGTATGGACTCCGATCATGCGTTAGCAAGAACATATGTTGCGGATGTTTTAATTAGCATAAGAAATAGACAGAGGGGAAGTATGTACGTGATCGACAGAAAGGTTATAGATATAGGTAAGATGACAATTGGTGAAAGGACCACTGAAAAGGATGGGTCCGTGATAACCTCTCGGGACAGGGAGCTAAAAGGTTAGGCGAACACTCAAAAGAACAGTTCAACCGAGCCACAGAAATGCTTCAATTCCCTAGCATCCAGTCCGAACCCGAATGGGAAGTAGAAGTCGATCCTTCACAACTCTAATCAAAGTTGAGAAAGCTGTTTAAAACCTGAAAGCCACAGCACCTGACTGCTTGTCATCGGTAATTTTTAAGGAAGGGGGTTGGAGGTGGATGGGCATCGGACGTACTAGGTGGCGTACGAAAATCATAGATAGCGCCGTCAAACTGGTCTAATTAACGAATCCTTCAAGTCTATAAGAAGAGACGTCTTATTATCGTAACCATGGAGGTATCAGTCTGACGAATAGAAAGTCTAAGATCCTACCCAAAGTTCGAAAACAATAAACATAACCCTGTATCCTACGGAGTGTTGACCATATCTTCACACTCCACCCACCCAGGGCTCCGAAAACAGACACACAACCACATAATACTAACTGTATTTCTCCACCTCAAGATAGCATTCAAATCCGTCGACAGACATCCCACGGGAACGACTCACTGAAAAGGACGCTGATAAACACATCAGGCTGTTGAGAACCTTATATCTGAACATCTGTGTTTGTCTTAGAGCCTATAGTGAGGTCTCAGGTGGGTGGTGTATCCGTCAAAAATATTCATTCCTTCCATGTTTATTCAATCTTGTCATAGACACTAACGAATGTCGCTTTCTTCTCATTTGACTTCACATGGATTGGTCTTGCGACAGAAGATGCCTCAGTAGACCTAGAGTACGTGGACGGCATAGCCTTGTGAGGCGAAGGCACCGATACGATGCAGTCTACTTCATTGGTAATTTGCGGACGTTTAGGATCCATTTCTTACCTCCAAAATGCAATTTTTTGATTCAGGACTGTTCTCCGTCAATACCTCACTCGACAACATGAGGTGAAATGGTTGGGTGCGCTGACCAGTTTACTCAACTGGGATGTCAGATTAACCCTTGTGGGCGAGTCAATGATGAAGAGTCAATACACGGATACAAAATGCTCACTTGGCTTTCGATAGCCTAGTCCGTTATGATGCAGCCATATCTGATTGTCTATCAAGGATTGACTGTACTGAGCTGCAGTTCGTTTCATCCTACCACATGACTGGGAAACATGCTCATTAATATTCGAAGATACGAGGTTTCTGGTGTTCGACCACCGTTGCCTTCGTAGTATAGGCCATGTCGTGGTGCTACCAAGTTATTAATGCAGAAGTCAGACTGATTTTTTAGCAGGACGAGTTAGTCAGTCGTCGATGAGGCCGTAAACTATCATCGATTCATGGCTTGAACACGTGTAACACATGCCTAGTCACCGTCTGTTCCTTCGCACAGTGTTAACTAAAGTAGCTTCAGGCTCCAAAAACAAAAGGCGCCCAGACTTAGACATGGCATAAGTCCTCGAAGTATCTGACTATAAGCTGAGAAACTTCGACTTCCCGGTTGGGGTCCGTATGACAACCTAAACTGCAACCAGAAACTAGGTAATATGGCTTAGAATCTATCTCAGTAGTGTAGATGCATCTATGAATTACCTTTGTCCTAGGCATAATATCACATTTCCTTATTATTTTAACCCTACTGTTCAATCCTCTGGGACATTTTATTGTTATTTAAATATTTCTCTATTGTTCATCGTGTTGTCATGTATATTGGTGTGCTGATACAAGGGGCAGCAACTTGGATCGTTGCGCAGTATTTTCACTTCTTATATTGATTCTGACTGGTATTATCCGTCTGGGAAAAGCAAAGCCAAAAAATGGAACCAAATTGTCATTTTATTGAGATAATTATCAGTTTTCCAAAACGATTCCCCTGATATTTCTATAATCCAATAACAGTTGGTACTTACCGACAGAAGTTTGTTTCTGACATGAACACTTGGAACTTGATTGTACAGGACTTTGTGACTCAGAAACAGAATCTCCATAACTTATAAGATCTCTATTAGTAGTTGACTGCCGCATGGAGGGGTAGGATTCTGAAGGTATACGCGTTGTTGCGAAACCTACTGCCAAATAGTCTCCCAAAGGACTGAAGTCAAGACACACTGGACTCATTGATGTAAAATTGTGAGCGAAAAGACACTGACCACGATTATGCTCTGGTTGCAGACGATATACAGCTAGAAGTGTTCTGAGTACGGTTGAAGACGACTGAGAAGACTGTAATGCACAGTGTGATGTTTCTTGAGGAATAACGAATGCAGCTAGAAGACGCCCATCTGGGGAAACACAGACAGAGGAATCGTTGAACAAACGGGCATGAGGAACAACAAGGCTGTTGTTATTGTACGACACAGCGACATTCGTAGGCATTGGCAAACAAGCAGCATCAGTTCCATCGTACTCGCCAAAAGCTTCATGATTCCTGCCAGACACAGTATATCCCTGAGAAATGGAGTGAGTAGGGCTACACAAACTTAACTCCCAACGACAGATACGGTATGTTACATCCTAAAAATGGGAAACATTTTGAAGTTCAAAGTAAAGGTATATATATCCAATAGTTGTGATATTTCGTAAATAAAGAAAAAAATCATTCGGGTGAACTGGAAAATGTTAAATGTGAAAATGAAGTGAAGTAGAAAAGCGGAATTCGACGATGCTTTCTGTAACGATAACGAAAGTTTCGAGATTGGCTTGTGTAGCCCGAAGTGTGCAATGACATCAAAAACATTTGTCTGAGCAACAAATTGTCTTCATCACTATCTAATTAATAATGAGGCTTATATCCATAAACAACTTCAGCCAAACTCTATGCTCAAGATGCAATCACCAAGCAAATTGAAATATATCCTTCAGACGTATGAAAAAAAGATCAGCGATCGTATGGCAAAATCTCTTCGATCTAATCACATAACTCCATTGGTAATCGCGTGACAATTAGAAATGGTCAGTACACTAGGTTGTGTTTACATAAAGTCACACTACTATCGGCTTAACTTTCTTAGGAAGCCAACTTATCTGAAAATGCTTGCGAGTGAAACCTTAGCTATAATCTTATCTTCAAGAGCACTAAAGCAACATTCGAAGAATCGACACCGATAACAACGCTCTACGCTTAGGTAGTGAGAGATATATTGAATATACTAAGATTTATATTCGAGCTTTTTAAGAACTACAGGCTTTCACAAGACCCTAGCAATCAAACTAAAGGTTTGATACAGCTTACCTCTTAATTCTAAAGCATTGTTATGAGATAATCTATATTAAGCACGAAGTTTGGTTGCTAGAGGCTTATGAAAGCCTGTAGATCTTAAAAAGCTCGAATATAAATCTTAGTATATTCAATATAACTCTCACTACCTAAGCGTGAAGTGTTATCGGTGTCGATATGTAGAATGATGGCTTAATGATCTCAGAGATAGCATTAAGGTTGAGGCTTAGTGGTTTAGAGAGATGACTACCAACCGTTGGGTCACAGGTCCAAGCCCCGCCCCACCTACCGAAGTTTGGACGACCAGATAGTATCACTAGCCCTCACACAATAGGTGTAAATCATTGCCTGCTGCTCAGACGTGCACAAGGTAATTGAGTGCATTTCGTTTCGAAATATTGTTATACAGGAAATATAGAAAATAAAATCCACGACTGATAACAGAGACTAAAAATGAAACTTATTACAAATTAACACGAGTACAACCATCACCTTTTTAGTCGGATATTCCTAAAATACTACTGCAAATAAGGGTTCATGAAAAAGCTTGGAGGAACATGTAGATATAAGTACTTATTAAACGAAATACTATACAGAATGGCTATGAAACTTCAGTGGCGTCATTAAGAAATTCAATTTGATAGTATTAACAGTCCAGATTTCTGGCCACTTGCGTAGGTTGTTTTATCTCTCAAGCCCACAAAGAGGATAATTTTCAGAATCTTTAATTATTAATGAGGCGATCTGGGAATGCCGTATTTTTGAAGTGCTGTTATTCATACTAGGTGATGACTGAAGATGAAATTAAATCCTGGGTTGCAGCAGGATTCAAACCAGTTGGTTCTGAGTTTCTAGCCTAGTGCCTCACCAAGTGAGCGACGAGACTTATCTGCTTACCAGATCTTAACTTTACTTAATCACTGATTATTTGAACCATATGACAACGATATCTGACTAATTACCGAATAAAGCAATCAATAGATTTCGTTTGGTTATGATAATGTACTTAGTTCATACACAACCTACATGTAGTAAATGGTAAAAACATCCTTAAAGTATCATACAATACAGAAAGTATTACACTCGAAAGACTCACCTGAAGACTAGATGCAGAGCCATATTCGCCCATGTCCACAAACAGACCTGTTATAACTTCGGTTATACTACGGTTCACTGCGTTTAATATAGTTCCAGTGTTATCAGTAAGATTAAATGTGCCACTCAGTGATCTTGTAGCAGATTCTGACATACCAGCTTGAACTCTCCTACAGTAATTAGATAGAGGTGCCGGACCAAATGAGTGAGGGAGTGAAAATGATACATTAGATTGAAGTGACGACTGATGTGATGGAGTAGCAGAGGAAATGCCTGAATCAGCTGAAAACTGTGAATAGATAGTACCACTCCGGTTAGTGAGAGAGCCAGTGGACATACATTGGTTTTCGGAACAAACTAGTTTTTCACATACCACTGCACTCATGTTGGAATGTGGGTCAACTGGAAATGTTTGAAGGACAATATGACCACAACGACAACACGCTGTCATTGAGCTTCGATCATTAGCTGAAACCAAATATGATGACCACATATAAGTACAGGAATATCGATTGGTGAATTCATTATACGCAAATGCTGAATCAGATTACTGATGAATTCCTTCAATTTGATAGTTTATCAGACGGTCACCAATGTACGATTACAATTCACTGTTGAATATACAAAAAGTTCAACTCAAAGTGCTAGTTGAAAGCAAAATGTTTCCCATATGAAAACAAGATGTCGTTGCACCAAGTAAAAGCTGACTGGTAGTCAATACAAGCGACTACTGAAACCTAACACCTTTTGTGTTTGAAGCTTTCCACAAGTTCCAGACTGTTTATCAGCCATTTCTTCCCTTTTACGGAATATCTTTCATCCAAGCTAAAAGGTATTTTACCAAGCATGAGTTGGTATGCTTTACTTTTTGGAATTAATTTAAAATGTAAAAAGCACAACCTAACCAACTTCAATTGTAGAGGTGATAAACAGTACTTAATTTAAAAAGCCGCTAAATTGAAGACTGACACTTTATGCCTGCGAACGGATCGCACACTAACAGCTGTTTTGAAGCCCAGTGGTGATAGTTGACCACAACAACAAAACGTTAAGCGGGGTACTGGCTGAGTTTCCGAAATAAATCAAGCTAGTCCAGTGAATCCAGTTTCATACAAAAAAAACTGGCTACGTGAAGTTGCGACCACATTTGCCCCTTGCTTCGTCCACATCAAACACCTACGACCAAGGATGCTGGGTTTTTCGCTTGTTTCATATTCACTTGGAACAGTATGAGGAAGCTGTTAAGTGATAGTCAGCGTGGTGGCAGTAGATAAGTTTAAAAAAGGAGCGACATTTGAAGAAACAAGATAAACTAGTGGTTGAAATTGGCGAAGGTGGTCAGTAAGAATGTATGCGTTGTCAGTTTACAGGCTCACGAATTCCTTTAATTTTTTTTCCCGCTTCTCGAAAAACTCAACCATGCTTTCGTTATCGTTCTTTCTGTCTGGTTATGCACTACGTTTTCGTCTTCTTAGTGTCTATATATATATATATATATATATATATATATATATATATATATATATATATATATATATATATAAATTAGCTAGCACCATCAAAAATGCAATGCTCCATACCTTCATCATAGTCTGTGTCACAAACTTCAGTATTTGTTAAGTTTTCAGGTTTTTCACTTGAAGTTGAGGCCCGTAAACCATAATTCGTCAATACTACTTTCGATGAGGAGCTAGTGAAGTGACGAGGTGATCGTAGTAGAGAAGCTCCAGTCTGAACGTAAGGAAAAATTAATGATGGTGTTCGAGATGAGATACTAGAAGCACGATTCACAGTAACAGGGCATGGATGATTCCAATTATTATCAGGGTTATCACGTATGTATGTGCCAAAATCCGAGGCTTCCTGAGGTAGGCAAGGTTCAGAAGCTTCAGATGTACTTGGAAGATTATTGGATTCTAAAAGTTTACATGTTGCATCAGAATCACTGTCAAGTAGTCTTAAGTTCAAGTGGTTGTTCAACGACGAATATTCTCCAGAGTGGTTTAATAAAAATTGAATATGAGTGGGTCGCCCATCAACTTTTCGACGCTGAAAGGTTAAAATTGATAAACTAAAAAGTAGTCATCCGAAAAGACGATTATATGTACTTAGTATTACGAAATAAAAGACCATAGACGTAGTAAATATACAATGATTTTAAAAAAGGAGTATGAATCAAGGTAAACCGATAGATAGAACAAAGTGGGGACATCCACAGGAGCAAATGGCGTTATTACTACACTGCACGATAGTACCAAGTAAAAGCCAACAAAAATAGAAATATATTAAGGTATGTAATAAAGATTTGAGAGTATAGAGTCCAGATAAATCAACTGTAATAAGATGTTCATCACAGTGAGTTGTATCACTTAGGCCCATTATTACCATTACATACCAAAAACTAATGATGCAATATGATAGCTAAATAAGTCAGCTTGTCCCGTTTCTTCTAACAACAATTAGTAATGAAGACTAAAAGACGGGTCAACATAAAAAACTTTATCAACCTACCATGGTGATGAACAACAATGAAAAATACATTGTGTCCATATATATATATATATATATATATATATATATATATATAATATGTGGCCTCGGTTATCTTCAGACCTTTCTATAATAGGATTTTTTTACTGGTTTCGTTTCATTTACCAACCTGCTATACACATGCATGATCACGAGATTGCTCCCGAAAATCTAGTGCGTTAGCTGATTGTCAAGATTTTCAGGGATTTTTGGCTTGTTTGACGGATCGAAACAAAAATACGTCACAACGTAACAGATATGGCATTGATAAATCAGTCATTAAAGTGACTCAAACTGATTAGCAGTAAATCGACGGGTTATATTAATGGTACCATCTGAATAAATGATATTCTTAGTACCAAAAATGACCATCATCATCAAGATTAACATGGGATCAGGCGTTACTGCATAATGCTCGAAGTTGTCACATCTCATACATCAGCATATCAAGTGACAAGGCAATAAAATGGAAGATGAAGAAGGAAAGGGAAATCGGCCAAAGGAAGTAGAAGTAGAAATTAGTAAAAGAGAGGAAGGAGAAATCAGATGTTGAATTCAGGACAGTGGTTGAGATGAGGATAATTTATGTATACATCTGCACCACTGATTTCGGTTCTGAGTCATATCACTTAGTCTCCAACAACTAGTTTTTCTTGTCCTGCCGACCCCAACCGGCTAGTCTGCATCGCCCTACATGGTTTCACTGAACAGTCAACGACTTCATCCATTGATGCCATCTTTTAGTCTGGCTGACCCGAGCCTTTTTCCAACCTGAGTCTACTTCAGTCAACATTGTGTGACGGGGCAGATGGTGGCTAGGCATACGTAACACATGTCCCAGTCATCTCGGTCGATAAAGGTTCACAACAGCATCAAGTGTCTTACCTCTCCTGCCTAAAACTCTACGTCTGACTTCTGCATTAGTCACATGGTGACACCAGGAAACACGGGCTAGGCGACGAAGGCAGTGGTGGTCAAACACTTGAAGCCTTCTCATTTCTTTTATCTTTAATGGCCATGTTTAACAGCCATACAACAGAACAGGGCGGACTGCTGTGCAGTACACTCAACCCTCAATATACAATCGAATATCGCAGCGGCGCCACAGATGACGTAATGATAATAACAAGGCAACAGGTTTTCCAGGAAATAATTGTATTCCTCAACACTTATCACTATTTTTTTGCAACTTGTTGGTCACCAGCCAAATAACTTACACTTTCATACACAACACTGGCTAGTAACCGATGTCTTAATGAACTCATGTCAATTACTAGCCTGACCATTTCTGATCTTTTTCCCACACGATTTTACTCCAACTAGTGTCAAACAACAGAAAGGAAAGTGCATGTGCAATAAACTTCCCAATTACCCCAATCAGTCGATATTCATAACCTTGGCGGGTAATCAGTGCACAACTCTGTCTTACCTTAAACACGACATGCGGTTGAAGTTCGACTACAAACGATCGGTTTACCGAGAGCTATGGCTCAATGCACATACTTTTATATCTTTCTATTTGATAGCTTTTTCATAGTCGAAAGCCACAGAAAATATCAAAGCGATTGCCCTATTGTTAACAGCTGAACACAGATAATGTAAGTTATTAGAATTGACTACAATAACAGTTATATTTGATTGCTTGTGGTTGCTACTAAGAGTTAAGATGTTCTTATCGTCAGATAAGATGTTGAGTTGGTTATTGAAAAGTTCAGTGGTCAAGGTCAGTCTAATAATTTGAGGTGGACGATCGCAGAGTTAAGTGAAGTGTGTGATAAAAAAAATCTACCCTGCTTGATCAAGAAAACTTGGGTACATAAACAAAGTGGTTTTTACTACGCAAGGAATAGTTTGGTCAGGTCAAGAAACTCAATCGAGGCATAGTGATGTGGACTTTATCATAAGGCAGACGATATAGGAGAATTAGGCTCATTCCCAACTTTCTTTTCTACTAGGGATGTGCGTGTACCGTCGTAACTCGATTTGGGTATATTGGTATCTGGTACAGTCATTAAACAGTTTCAAATTTAAATTTGACAAAAACTTTTAAACCACATAACATGAAATGACAATGTTTGAGGAATGGCTGGACAGGTTTTGGAGATGTGCTCAGTGAAATTGAGGTTATCATAGTATAACCCGGGGTCTCGTATAAACTGCAGTTGAAACAGTCTAACTCCATAAAATGCTAAGGATACACCTTCTCATTATACGTCAAAGTACATCCAACAACTTTTATCACAAATGAACTGTATTCGCCAGAGTTTATCCACACACCTCTAAGCAATTAAGGTCACTTAAAGGTATCTCCTGTGCAAAAAGCTTTTTTGTAAAGCTAGGTAACGTTAAGGTCACCAGAGAATAAGAATGATATTCGATATCGAAAGTAAACAGATATATCGTTGGTAATCAATCAGAAATAGTAATGGTCCAAGGACACTCTTGAATAACTCCACTGTGGATGCTTTCCAGAGACAAAGTAGTGAAGTCTAGCTCAAGATAATGAGATCAATCACTTAGAAAAGGATGAAACCACTCTCATAATGAGTCATATATACATCGAGCTTGAAGTATTTTTAACAAGAGGGAATGAGGGGCTTAATCATAAGCTTTAGTGATGTCAAAGTATAGGACTTGCACAGCTAACCTACAATCTCTATCTAAATTTGTTTTTTAAAACAACCTTGTTTTGTCCATTCGGAAATACAAATGACATAATAAAAAACGTGTAAAATCAGTTTGCTTATAATGCAAATGTGTGATAGACTGATTGACTGACAAAATCAATTTACAACCTCGCATACAGGTGCATCGGCTCAAGTTGCTACATTACGGTAGTAAACGAAGAACAAGTGGATGGAAAAAAAGTGATGTCAAAGTAGACAATTGTGTGAAAAAATAAACAATCTGAAGATAAAGATTAGTAATTGATTTAAATGTATTTTTTGACATGCACATTCTAATCGCAGAATCTCAAGGTAGATGGGTGTTAGTAAGTGAATGTGGTTCAACGTAGAAATGATGTGCAAGTTAGTGCATGAAAGTTGTAATACTATTGGACCTCGGGTTCGAGCCCATGATTCACCAATTGTAAATCGAGTATCTGATCCAATAAACAGCAGTCGTATGCTTTGGAAACTAGTAATCGCGGCTGGTTGATGCATTGGCTTTGAGTTGGGAACTTATCTCTCACCCTGAATGAATAATATTGTTTGATGACTACATATTTTGAAGCCATGAAAAATCAACTTGGCTTTGTTTTAAAATTGAATACAAATTTGCCATCTACCCCTTTTGATACATTTTACTGCTTTTTTCACAGCTGATCATTTGTTGTAGACAGACAGATTAAAGTAGAAAGTCCCAAAGAAGTACATCGGTTCAACTTACCACAGTTTACATCAGCATGTAAGGAGGAAGTGCACAGCAAAAGTTATATTAATGTATATAACGTATATGACGAACGGAATAAATAGATGGATGTTAATAAAATGTTTAAAATTTGAGAGTAACAGAGATTATATACATCTGCGGCAGTCACAGATTTCTAACCATATGAACAGATCTTTTACTGCTGGTTCCTACTGTTTCAAGGACCTCAGCTAGACAGTGTACACCTCCTTACGTGAGTGAGACGAACATTCAGAGACTTCATGGACAGCAGCTTAGTCCTGATCCGATCATCCTTAGCATATATTTCTAACCCAATCCTACTTTTGATCACATTGCACGTTGAGGTAGGCGGTAAGTCGTCCTGTACAACAGATGCACTAAGCACCTCAGTTGGTAAAGGTTCACAGTCTATCGACTAAACAGCTTTCCTTGCCTAGTACTCCACCTAATCTCGACATTACTCATGTGGTGATTTAAACATGTATGGGAAACGCTAAAAAGACACCTGTGATCAAAATTTAGTTTCAAACGTATTGGTTATTCAACATATTACTGTCGTTATAAGTAGAATCTAGTCACTTCATTTTATAAATGAAGTTTGAAGCGACAAGAAGCGTCTAAAGCCAAAATATGAAAAATTGAATATATCTATGGAAAACTATCGCATACCTTGGATGCAGAAGAAACACAAACAGTATTGTGCTCCACTTCGCTGCAAGAAATCTTGGAGTTCCGGAGACCTTCAGCTGAATGAACGCTGGTATTCAAAAGATTTTTGATGTGTTGACTGAGAAGGTAATCATTGATCAAATCTGTAGCCACATAAGTTATTGGAGTCACTTCATGGGCATTACTCAACCTTGAGCGCAAAAGATCCAATGCTGCAAGAGGGACTAAGAGGTGAGATTTTGAAGGCATTTCACTAAGTGATGAGACTGTGCAGTTACTAGATTCAAAGGGTACAAGACTAATCCCATGTGATGAAGTGTTAGGTGGACTGTGACTCGATAGCACATTCGACGGCAATTGTAGTTGCATAGACATCTTGGCTCGGCACCGAATGCAAATACCAACAGGGGGCATAACATCAGCAGACTTTTTGAACGTGCCTGATTTCTGTCGCATATATAAATAGAGAAACAATAAAAACTTATGTCGTAATAAATAAGCAAACGAACCGTGCAAACAAGCAATTATGCGAACGCTAAGTCTCAGTAACAAGTGGCAGAACTCAACAACCGAACACAGATTCGTGTACAAGGTTGAGTCAAACTTGTATGATGGCTGAGAACAGATGGAACGGGACCTGAAACTGCCACACCTACTAGTTGAATCATGTCCTCAAAGCCAACCAACCACAACTTTATGCACTACACAGGATGAATGAAACATCAGCATGGGACGGATAAACTAGGTGCAAAACCTAATACGATAATGCGTCGGTCTCATACACAAGGAGAATCTGGTACAGAAGCGCATCAGTTCGATTTATCAAATGAGTGAAAATAATAATAGTACTGATATCACCAAATACAGTCAACGTGAATCGCTGTGATGCTCTAAAGCAAGTGATATAAACATATGAAACAAATACAACACAAAACATATCTTAAGTCAGTGTTACGAGTAATGAAGGTAGATCGGAGTTTTGAGCTTATCTCTTAAAATTACCATCTACCAAATACATGAATATAATTTTCACTACCAATTTTCGTCCAGTCCAAGATTATGAAAGGTGGATCTGAGTTGATGATAACGAGGCACCGAAACCTAATGATAAAATGAATTGTTAAAAGTAGTTAAAGAAAGTCTAGTTTTCCAGTAATGTACTACTACTACTACTACTGAGAAATGGAGTAGTTTATGTACATTCAAAGAATGAAAACATCGACTGCGGCGCTAGTGTGTTTGTTTAACTGAAGATATCGAAAACCAGAAACAGCAAGAAGACAGCTACCAGGTATTATAAATTTATTTCAGCAATAAACTAGTCAATAATCCACTAGTGAGTCCAGTGGTCATAATTTTACCGAATAGCTTGTCGTGAATGACAAGTCAAGCAGTGATACGGAAAATATTATGACAAGAATCAAACGTCAACACTTAGCCGTATCTATGAGTAAGCAGAATTCGGTTAAATAACAAGGCTTACATTTTGAAAAAAGGCAAATGCATAGTATTATTATATCCCTTCTTTAGAAACTAATTATTTCTTCATTCACTTGAAACTTACCATGGATTGTGAAGTACGCATTTTATTGCTATCGGTCGAAGTAGAATTCAAAGGTTGTTCAGCACTTGAAGGAAATGACCAACGCCACCAAGCCACATGTTTACTAGCCCAGTGCCAAAACGAGGAGAGGCAAGGTCGACATAAAGAATGACGCATTAATTCACGATGAGTTATAACTAGATCACAAGCATGACCACCACAGCATATGCCACCATTTGGGACCGCAACATTCGGAAACTCACAATAATTGCCTCTCGAAAGGAGGAATTCACGTACAGGCATGTCTTCAATTATAGCTACAGCGGCTGGGTTAGCGTCACGACACAGACGCTCAAATACCTCAGAACAATGATTCGGATTAGCCAGGTTTAATAGTTCCCGAACATGTGATGGGAACATGCTTGGTTGAGTAGTAGCAGCAACCGCGGCCGCTGCTTGCTGAGCTACTGATATTCCAAGGCGAATATCCGTTGTCACCGCTGGGAACTTTGGTCCAAGTGTCCCAGCCCATCGACATAAACGAACTGAACAGACGGAGCAGATACCAAGGTTTTGAAACCAGGAGTCAGTACATTTAGCAAGATATTCCAGAAGAGCATCACGAGGAACTAAAGTATCAAACATGTTTTTAGTGGTATCACTTGTGTTACCTAAAGAAGAAAAAGTTGAAAAGTAGTGATCACTGAAAAAATGTATCACTAAATATATTAACGTCCTATCGACAACAGAATTTACAATCAGTTCTTGTTAAGAGTCATCCAAGTAATATCCTTTGAGTAATTCCGGACCAACTTCGGTCTTTTAGTAATAATACAGTTGCAATGCTTGACTTTATTTTGCCTTCAGTTTTTTCGTAAACAGAGGATGCAAAAACGAGAAAGGAATGAAAAATCTTGTATTGTAAATTACATCTTTGTGTCCGGCCACAAATATCCAAGCAATGCACATATTAACTTGTTTATACTACAAATACCTTCAAAATAACGTTACCGCCAACTATTAAAGTCATTACACAAATATATACCGTTATGTCACAACAAAATCAAAACAAATACTGAGGAATTAGATAAAATACTACATACCAATACCCATTAATGCTTTTCCAGATGTTTTAGTATGTTCTACCTTTGTTGGACTGCTGAATACTGATTTATTAGGTGACTTATGTACGTAGGTTGGTTCACCGCTGGATGGATTGGCAGTTGCCGTGTATAAGACAGTACCATCAGGAGCGAATTTAACCCACCTGACACGTGAGTGGTTTGACACAAAACGCCAAACTGAAAGCATTCGACCAGATACCCAATCATAAAAGACCACTTCTTGAGTCCTATAAGTAAAGAAGTTCAATTTTAAAACCAACACGAAGTTGATTGGCACAAGAAAAAAACTCATAACCATAATATGATTGTGATAAATTGAGATTAGAAAAGTCATTTAACAAGAAATACCAAGTACTAAATAAACCCATAGAATGTCTAATTATCATCTAAAGGTACCCAGATTCTCCTACCTACCATACAGAATCAGCCAAGAATATGGCTAATCAGAGTTCGTCTGTCACAACTTTTGGACAGAATGATGATAATGATGTAACACAGCAACTAAAGACAATAATGAACAGTGCAACTCAACCTGATATAGATTTATGTACTGGACACCAAGTCACGAATTTTGTGTGGAGGCCTAAGACTTTGAACAGTTGCACAAGCCTCAGAATCATCTTGTAACCTACTTATCACAATTCGAGTGTCTAGACCGGAAATTATGAACACTGTTATACAATCATGTGTTCAGAACCTATCAAAAAAATTCTATTCGATGCCTTCAGGTGGAACCAACACTTCGACTAAACCCGAAACGTGAAGGTAAGTTCATGATCCCTGAGCCGGATCTGCCTAAAGTGTTCATCAAAAAGGATTCAAAAACCATAAATCCAAACCACCAATGCAAAAAGGTTCCAGAGTTTTGAAGTCCCAAAGGAAGGTATGACATGTCCACTTATTCTGATTACTATCAACCCACTGAGATGCAATTTTTGACGCCACTCTACTGACAGATCTCAAGCCAAAGGCTTCAAAACTGACTCCCCATCTGCTTCAGTTTTTTGTCGGTTCAAGTATGTGCATAGTATTTCACTCCTCTTAATATAATACTTCACAATAAGTTCTTACACAATTTTACTGAGACTACTGCTTACCAAATTACATTCAGTTGGCAATCTTATGGTTAAAGTTACACATGTATTGCATTTTTTTTAAAAACATCTTGATTTTCAAACCAACCAGACACTTAGTGCTTATGGTACTTTTGCTGAACAGTTATACTCAATGAATAAAGGAAATCTTTAACCAGTAAAACACACGATTAAGTAAATGATTTGATATACTCACCAAGCAGCAACTAGTATAGAGTGAACGGGATGAAAACTCAGGGATGCAATTGCTCCTGTCTGTTTCCAAACACATACAGAAGACATCTCAGTTACGCGTTCGTTTTTGTCGTCACCAACTTTTGCTAAATAATCCAAGTTCCACAGCCTCACACTGCCACCAAGGCATCCACTAGCAAGTAGGTAGGGTTGTGTGGGATGGAACTTGGTAGAAAACGATGAAAAACACCACAATGAATACATGATAAAGAGATCACATTCGATTTTGGTTAAATGAAGAATAAAAGCAAGTGCCTGAAATTTATAACTATAATTAAGGCTAGACATGAATAACACGGTGAATACGCTACATATATTATGCTTTCTGGACTGTATCATATACGATGTAATAAATCTCGACTTTTAACCAATCATTTTCTGATATCTATAAAATGAAAAACTATGTCACTGTTTATAAACTGCCCAGCTACTCGAAGAGGCTGGTCTAGTCAACGACTTGCTTTACCGAATTATCCTGAGTAGTTTGAATATATATTAATGCAATTCAGACCGACTAGACAATAAATAGTACAAGCATAAGATAGAATCGCTACAACCATTAAAAGTCTTAAGTATCTATTACTACATTGTTGTAGTAGTCTAACAACGACTTTGTTGACAGGATCACAATCACACCACTACTATCAACCATACTAAGAATTCCATACCAACAATCTACCTTCGACCACATTGCTTAAGCCAGTGATCAGGCTTTTTCAAAAGAATGTTTTGGTTTGATGATTCTGACCTCCGCATTTGCTCGCGTGTACTAACCAATACCACTTACTAAGGAAAATAGCTGCAAAAAGCAAAAATGTGGTCGATTTTAATCTGTTGAACAGTCACATCTCACAGTGGAATAGTCTCACATAAGTCGGTAGCAGGACATAACTCAGTAATCGCGCGCAGGTTTTCTGCTAAGTGACGGATTTCATCCAATGTGAATAAGAATGAAAATACCTGACTTGCAAGCTTCAGTAGGCGATAGAGTTCAAACCTGAGATTCGTTGCACGAACGTTTACCGCACAGACTAGTGTGACATTTTTAAGCTACTAAGTATTAACACAGAAGCTCGTAACACCGCATAACAGCCCAAAATCCGGATAGCAACATATACGGTAAGATGGAATACATAATTGGAATTATGCTTCAGAAATTGCAAAGAGCTAAAATGCAACATCCGATATAACAATGAAATGAGATGTGATAATTCGAAAAAACAAAACTAAATCTTCGCCACAGCACATTTAGCAAACCCAAAATTGTCTCGAATGTAGTGGTAAGGCTATAATAGACTAATCAATAGAATCACCGTCAGCATCCAGTGCTGTGGGTACTTCTAGTGACCGTTATGTACGATAACATAAACAATGCTTCTGGAATTTATTTTGACGCCTTTGCTGCTCTTGGGCTTCATGTGCAGTTGTGGCTCATCTGTGAGTAGTGAACTTCCATCCATTCAGTCGTGTCCAACCTCTGTCTTATCTACTAAGGATTATGCTTTCAGTGAGCATGGTACGTCGTCTCACTCTGTTTGATTGTTCGACCGCGGTCAACTTCAAGATTTGTTAGGGCAGGGATACGTCCTGTTAACAAGCGCCAATACACATGATTTTAACTCAGGGTTTCTTACTAACTGCCTCTAGCCACCTAATATTTTACGAGCTGCGTTTTCCAAGTTGATTGTTGTGCCTATCCCAAGAAATATTTCTGCAGTGGTATGTTTCATCTGGTTGGAGAGTGGAGAGGGCCGAAGCGCGTGATTTTTTCGTGTTTCATTCTCTTACTCCTAGATGTCGGCCTAGCAAACAATCTCGTTTCCCAGCAGGTCTTCGGCAGCAACAGACAGACAAAGGTGACAACATGGATGACTACGTAAGTTCTATGTCCGATTCTCAACACCCTACAACGATAGTTACTTTTCGTCACAACACTATCCGAACACTGCAATCGTTGATGCAGATTTAAATCGAAAAGCTGAGGGTTGGAATAACAACAATAGTAGTTATGATAATAGTGTTGCTAGTTGATGACGTAAAGGTGGAATAGCAACCAAAAAGGGTTGTAAGACTTTTTTAGTCTTCCACAAGATGCATGTAGGCTACAAAGAGGTGAAAACATGGTGAAGTTAATGAACAATCAAAGAATTCGGTAATATGAACGAGAAAAGGTGGAAGAAATCGAAAATGTTTTGTTAAGAGTTTTAATTATTGGGAAGATCAAATGAAGTAGTATCGGAAATTATTGAATGTAAAGATAAGAATGATAACGACGACATACGAGCACAAAGATTAATTTAGCAAAGGGGGAAGTTGAAAAAACAAAACGAAATTATGTTTAGACCAAGGTAGGGACAAAGACTGTACATACTTCTTTTGCATATAAAGGTCAGCTTCAGCTCATGGGTAGCCAAGGCCTCTTCTGTTTTAGAAGTTGAATACGGAGGAAACGTAAAATGTTTGAGCGAATTCGGTAGACAACCTTAAAGTCATTGTTTGGGTCGGTTGAATGGTTGGAATCAATTAGATGTTCAAGGATAGTTTTCCTTTCACGCTTATAAAACTAGGCAGGAATATGTTCTCGTATACATAGACAGCAATCTCCGACTACAGCCGACGTACCTCGCTCCGCAGGAGCAGGTGAACTGGTAGATAAACATGGAGGTGGCCCGTCGAGGGTTGTTGTCTTGTATCGCTCAGTGGTTAGCTGAAATAATGGAATCAGTCAGATGCCAAGTGTCGCGTTCTGCTATCAGTGATATATTTCAGTTTACTGATACCATTAAGGTTGTCGACACTACCGGTTAAGTTGTTTTCCTTAGACGTCACTTCACTGCTCACCAGTGTACCACTCACTAAAGCTGTTCATTGTGTGATTTGGTTACAGTTAACGATGCCTTCGAAATGATTCAAAGAAATTCGCCACTCTATGCCATCTGAGCCACCAGGAAAGAATTCAGAAACCTAGTAACAATGAAGTGGACTGTGTAGTCAACAAGTCAATAACTTAGGCATTTATTTGTGGGTGAGCAAGGTTATTTTTAACTGTTGTGTTTTTGACAGAAAAGTTGGACTAGCAAACCTGAAAAGCGAGGTCAGTTGGGAAAATATCGCACGCGATGAGCAATCAGCTTTCCAGCCACACCGATGCTGAGTATCTTGAAAATTAAGTTTCGTGATGTTGAAGTTAGTCGTGTGAGTTGACGTTTGGCATGAGAGAAGCTTAAAATTGTCGTACAGTGACACCTACCTGTCCATGAGGATATCAATTTTTGGCTAAGCGTAACACCAAACAATAGTCACTGGACGGTAAGCTATGAGTGAGTCAACTTCGGCATACATTCGCCAAGTATGTAAACGCTAAACACTGCGGACACAGACATACCTACGTCTCCAAGCTCAAGCTTTATTGTCGTTTTTGGTTGTTTGAATTCAGCTATCGTTATGTGACGTGAACTACTGTTTGTGTGTAAATTCCATGTTGTTTATTGTGGGAAAACAAAATACCAAAAGTCACCTTATATTTAAGCCAGCAAAACTGTAGTTAACTGCTTCCAGGCAGGTATGCTAATTGAATCTATCACTGATGCTGATCTAGGGTTTTGGAGTGTGAACGCCAATATCTTGCTGATAGAGCTGTTTTTATGACATAAATGAGCTAGCAGAGCAAAGAGACAACCACCTTGGGTCTTCAGATATTGACGCACATCAAACGGAGTGCTGAAAAAGCATTTTAACTAAGACACGAGTACGGGCAGTAGTGTAAACGTACCAACAGCAGGTTTACGGACTAGACTTTAGATTATGTAGCGACCGGTAGATGAAATGTTCCCGGTAATCACGTATTGTCGAAAATTTTGCAGATTCAGAACGTCCTTGAAATGTCTGTTAGAGATGCTTCGAGTGCATTTTATGAAGGAAGAATTTAAATTCTCATAGTAGCACATTTCTCCACCTGATGTATTATAGTAACGACACTACTTCGTCTGAATGATGAACAATCTAAGGGTATGCATTACTTGCAGTTTATACATCGCAAAATGTGGTTCTCCATGTCGTCCAGAAAAGGTATGTCAACTTGCGGACGCTGAGAAATGAACTCACCTGAACCGAAGTTACCTCGTCAAATTGGTTCTCTCTAGTTTGGAGTTTCAAAATACAGAAGCCCGGATTGGACCTAGAGCAAGTGTGCTCCGGCAAATCTTAACTTTCAACAGGTATTTTAGATCGGAGTGAGAAACAACAAATGTTTAGAACAAAAACACGATGTCTGCTTTAGGACTCGGAAAAAAAAAGGGCAGCCTGAATACTTCATGAGGTATGATAGTACTGATGACCTTACAAAACATCCAAATTTATTCACAAAAGGCAAATAACATTTTTTTGTAGCTGAAATAACTACTTACGGTCAGAGTCCAGGGAGATCTTTCGTGGCCAGTGCATCGCAGCAACAACCGGCCGTTGGATACACAGTATATACAAACAGAGCGATCGCCATGGGCAGCAGCAACGAGTTCACCCGAGCAATTAAGTCGGAGAAGATAAACTGAACGGCAGTTGACTGGTGTGTCAGCTATTAGAGCTTTTGCACATCGCTGAGCTGTAAGTCTGTCTGACAAGCGCTGATGTTCATGACCCGCAGTCCTGCCAAATTCCCTTCGGTTAGTATAATCCACAAGAGATTGTAATTCTTTAGAGCCACTCCAAAAATAATGAATATCAAACATGCACAAATGTAAAATTAATACATCCAAGGCTTAGAAACAATCATAGTTAGCGAAAAACTTTGCCGTAATGGAGGTTAATGTAAATCTCACTGATTGATTAAAACACTTACGTACAATATTGTAGTCTTCTGAATTCATTAACAAGGATTCTATGTGAACTTGACTCTTTTTATTCCTTGTAACAAGTTACTTTTCCAAGATCTGGTTTCATCTTGGTTGTGCTGACCGAATGAGTTGACACAACTTTCTTGTGTAGGGAGTTCCTGTTTTCGGTGAGAGAAAGGCAGGGTTAGGTTAAGTTGACGCAAACGTTGCTTTTCGAGTTCATTGCAGCTATCTACGGGGCAATCGGTATTTTATGGAAATGGAAATGGGATGTTAATTTAATATGCAGCGCCTTGAACACATAATGCAAATAATGCGTAACCCTTCTTGTCAGGCAAGAGTGTTGACAGGTTTAGTCGTTCTAAGGGTTGTTACAGGATAAGTCAAAGATTCCAGCCATTCATCCATTACTCACCCCCTGAAAGCACTACCGAGCCGTGGGGCCGTTTGTAAAGCAGTGACTGGTCGCTTGAATCTGGTCTTCCGGTCAGGGTAGCATGAACTTGAAATAGAATGTCCGAAACATGGGTTCACTGTAGCACTAAAAAGCCACACAACCCGAAATGCAACCGGTGAGGCTTCAGCGAAGTGTCCAGGCATCTTCAAATCACAGCCAACAGTCACTCCCAAATCTTTAATTTCTTGGGCATTTGTTACCATTACTAGAACCACGTTTGTGGTTCAAATGAAATCATTGCAGTGATACTTGTGATTTCTGGTTGCTAAACAGGGCCGAATTGCCTGATCTCTGTTGGCAGATGGGTTTCCGTGACGATGCCTCGGTACCGCCGGGTATTCGTGTTATATTGACGTGGTCACTACCAAAGGAACCCAGGGCTAGTGTTTCGTTTTGTCTGCGACCAGTCAGCTAGGTGCATGTGTACCCCAGTGCGGAGTGATGTTGATCCCAATGGGGCTGGGACCCACTACTCTTGTCTTCAAACGCCATGTCGCTATCCACTAAGCCACTAGGGCATGATATCCATCCCTTTCACAACAAGTGTCGGGCGATTCGGTTGCGTATAGCAACGAGAAATAACAAATATCATCACAACGACTGACACCCGTTGCGCAAGAGGTGGGTGTCACGCCCAAGTAGCTTAGTGGATAACGACCTGACGTGGAAAGCGGGGTACTGTGCCTACCCCCGGTGGGAACTACATCAGTCTGCACTGGGGTGCTGGTGCGTCCAGCTGACAAGCCGCAAATAGAACGAAGCGCGCGTTCTGGATCCCTCTGCTAACCACCAAGGTCAATATCGAATCATTAGTTATACGATATGAACCCTGGTAGATTGCCTCCGATTTTCGCTGCATCCTCAACCTATTTGTGGTGGAAGCCTGTAAACTTTTACGTACCACGTTCGAGCTCTTCCCCGTCAGTTGATCTTTTATTTAGATCGCCTCAAGTGCAATACGGAACTCCTGAACATTACAACACCATGTTCTATCCTCAGTGATACGGTGGTACCCAGTGATGAGAAAAGAATCACTTTGATCATTTAAGAGCCATGCTTTCGCTACAGTAACCAATTCAAGCCTTGCTTCATCCAGTGCAGCATACAGCCCAGAAGTTCTAACAAGCAAGCGGTCAGGTTTATTACACGGATGCAATAATCCTTCAAAGTTCTACCTCTTCAGAGGTTATTCAGAAAAAGGTCAGTTTGGAAACTATTTCTTGAAGAGAGGGGCTTATCATTTCCATGACGTTATTCCCCCAACGATTTTTCAAACTCCCCGGCATTTGGCCTCAGCCGTTGCCTGCAAATTTCGCGATTTATATGAAATGTCAGTCTGGCCCAAACAACCAGCATACCTCCCTGTTGCTGTAGGTTTCACTAGTTGTTTGTGGCCCGTTTGCTAGCAGACCAAACTAAAATAAACGACTCGAATGCTTAAATCATCAAGTGCGCAAACTTTGTCCTGAACAAAGAAGTCCGGAATAGATTTGGTAAAGTCTTAGACTTCTACACAAAACCGTTTGAATATTTAAGGACAAAACCGAAGTCATAAACACACACACTTGTGTAGCTACGAGTGTCCGAGAGTGAGGGAGCACATGGCCTGTCATGATCATCATAAGGTAGTATTCCAATGAAATCGTAGCGAATTTGGAAAATCAACACAGAAATTCAAGACCCTTTGGTTTGAGAAAATAGAAAGAGAATCATTTTTCGTTTTCCAGCTGAAGCACTGCAAGTCCAACTGCTAACTGTTTCAGTCTGGCAGCACCAACTCGCTGTCACAGCAACTCCAGCATTTCCAGTTAAATGTGGGGCGTCACAGATGCCCTCTGACAGACGTCCTCGCTTTGCGACGAGATAGAGGTTTACAGTGAAGAGAAATGTTGACCTGTTTTTCTTAAACTTTAGAGGAATTACATCCCGCGGTTAAATCAAAATGGAAAAAGGTATTAATTAGTGCCAATTTTCTCAAAACTTGCATTCTGCCCTAAATTCTTTCCAACGGTTGCATTCTTTCCTGATGCTTCCACCAAAATTGCGCGCGCTCCACAAGAATTCTCTTAAAATCATACATAAATACTCAGATTTCCCCCCCCAAAATGCTGCGTGCCTCCCATACTCTCCTGGTAAACTGATTGGGATGCCTCTTTACCTTCCCAAATTAAACCTACCTCTGCCTAAGTTCGTTTTAATAATGATCCCCTGCTATCAGTTTCTTGGGAGATGTGGTATAATAATTGATGCTCGGCGCGTTCTCACCTCGTAAGCAGAGTAAATAACCGCCGAGGAGAAACATGTACAAGCTCTCGCGAACAATATCATGACATATTTTGCATATGATTACAAAACCTGACCACGTTGACCTTTGACTTTGCATAATGAGGTCAGCAATACGATCTGCGTTGATACATAACCTAATGTTTAGTGACCAGCACAAGAGTGTTTAACCCTGAAGTTGGACAAAGCCGAACCGAACTCAATTACCAGCTCCGGCATAAAATAAGATTGGGTGGAATACAGCAGAGTATTATGATAACCACCCTAGTTAGGCTGAAAGACTGGGACTGCGGAAAAAATACCAGAATAAGTAGGTGGTTTTTGCAAGCAGCAATTAGGATGATGCTAATGATAAGGAAGTAATAATCAGTAGTTTTATCTCAAGTAGTTATGATGATAACAATTATAATTAATGACTTCCGTCACGAGACCAACCCGTGGATCATGTAGGTATTCCTGGGAAGACGAGTCTAATTCATGATCTGCTTCCCTTCTGTCCATATTTTATTTGACAATCGCGACTTAACTGTCGCTGGAATGGGCGGCCCTAAGTTAGTCAAACTACATCACGTTGTCTTATAGTTACGGTGTTTTAGAAAGAGTGGCATCGCATGCGTTTCAAGCAAATCATACTGAAATGCTGTCCACTTTTTCAAGACCGCCCGTAGCATACACCATATGAGCTGCTTTTGGTCATCCATTATGGAATTTTTCAATGATTACCTCGAGAGACACTAAACTTGCTTCCCTTTATTGATGTCTCTAGGGTGAACACCTTGTCCGCTTGATCCAGTAGGAAGCTGAACTCAAAGGAATTTACGGACAAGGCATTCTAAGAGAACACGTCATTAGATCTTACTCGAATACAGTCGTCAAACTATATTTTTCATGATGACGTCTTTTATTAGACCGCTTAAATGGTGGATAAATGTATGCAGCAGTCACAGAAGTCTTCCGTGATACCCCAATGGCATCACCATGCGCCTACACACTACCTTCTCCAAAAATGTAGCAACTTCCGTGGTTTCAGCATGATATTCAGCCATGACTATGTTGCAAGGCGGGAGCTGGTAATGGGATTAGTTGCCAGATTCCTTGTGTGGTTGAAATCGTGGGCGATTCTCTTCAGGAATTCCAGCTGTTTAGGCCCAGCCTAACTCTGAGAATGGACACAATATATGGATCGTTGGCAGTTAGCTAGTATGTGCCACATGTTGTATTGGTGTTCCTGATACACAGCGACAAAAGGCGGCCGATAGGGGAATTGTTTTCAAGTTGTGATCGGATCGTGTTCACGTCGTGATTTTTGCATGCACTGATATGAGAACCTGATTGGAGAAGTTCGACCTCACGCAGGAAATCGGATTGATTCATTTATGGATTCACTTTCTGAGAGTTTTGTAAATACACATATGCCATGTATTTGCCCAATAAAAGTTGTCACTGTTCTTACGGTCACAGGCCATCCTTGTCTTCTGATTTTCTCCACGGCTCAGTGAAGTAGAAGGTACTAAGGGAGGTCAGTAGCAAAGGTATTCGGTTGAGGTGTCTATTGAGTCTCACTATCATTATACCTTCGAGCGAAACCCACCAATCGGAAACAACAGTTCTGTACGTCTGATGTTGCACAGCCGCAGTATGTGAAGGTAACAGGTTCATTGACTGGTTCTTCTTCTTTGGCAGTCTGGCTACGATCTAGCTACAATTTTCGCCTGCAAATTGAAGCATCTACTATTACCATCGTCTTCTCCGCAACTATTGTTGCATATCTCTGATTTTTGTCTTTACATGAATTTTGGAATAACAGCGTACTTCGCCATTTGAGGGGAAGCTGTGGTGTTTTGCTTCTTTATACACCAGTTTACTACTAAAGCTGAGGTTGAAAGACAACCAGCAGCTTCAATCTGTTCCGCGGCTAAGTTTCTGACCTTGCTATTTTACTGTTAGACAATAAATTTTTGTTGTTGTTTGATGTTTGTGCCTTGTAACCCTAACATTAGTAACGTTATCGTTGCAGTAAGTAAACCGATCCATAAAGCTAGGAGATCAAAAGTTTCGAATGCGTCACTAGGGTCCGAAAATAGTTTGTTTGCTAACGGTCCCTCTGTCGATCCATCAAACGTCATGACTGAGGTATATAATGGTGTTATTGCGAACAAGCGTAATGCCTTGGACAATGGTGATGCAGCTGCTGATCTGCAGCATGAATTAGATTGTCTTACACCTCTGATTCGCGTACTGAACTCTGTAACAGACCTACCGTTGGATATTTTTACCAAGTGTGGGACATTAGTTAAATTTGTAGACACTGAAGCCAGCAAACAACTGACTTCGTAGCACAACTCTGTCGTCCTCAACGCTTCCCGTAGTTTTTCGCTAAAACATGTTAAAAATGATCCCCTCCAAGCCTGTGGTTCGCATGAATCTGTTTGCGCAGCCCGACTTTTTAGGAATGGGAC